ATCTTAAAACGTTATACAAGTAATGAAAATAATCTTGATTTTAACAAAGGTGAATAAATGTTTCATTATTAATCAATTAGAATTAATATCAATTACTAATAATCTTTTTAATTAATTAATAACATTAGATTCTAATAATAATAGCAAAAGAAGAAAGATTGATGACTAATTTAATCTCCACTATAAGTTTATTTGTTATCTTTTTATTTTATCCTTATTTGTTTTTTAAAGCTAAATTATAATAATATTTTGAAGTAATAACATTTTACAATTTTCTTATTCTTGTTAAATGGTGATATTGTCAATTGTGGTTTAATTTTTGGGCTTATTCTTGTCAGTTAATTGCAAGAAAATTGGTGCTTGTCAATTAATTAGTTTACAATTTATCTCTTTTTCATGTGCCTAAAAAGCTTCGACGAATCTGTAAGCACACTTAATGGTATCAAATAAATAAAATGGCTATTTTACAAAGCTCAAAGGCTTTTATAAAGTTTTATTCACTTGTGATTGATTTATTTCAGTACCCTTGTTTATATTTATTGGTCATTGCAATAATTACCAATATTTCCAATTAATTTTTGATTAACCAACCAAACATTAGTTGTGACCTTTGCATACCTGCTAAAGTAAATAAAACATTGCCTTTTGCAAAAGCTTCACAATTGTTGCCATTTTACCAATGTGTTGTGCTATTGCTTTCACAAAAAGTGCTTTAAACAAAGAAAATAAAAACAACACTCATTTTTATTTCAAGAAATGACCTGAAGTTGTTCCAAACTATCGAATTTCTACAATATTTATTGTTTCAACATCAATATTAAACATTAATGTCTAATGTTAAATACTTGTTAAATATTAAATATTAATATTAAACATTCCTATATGGCACTTTTTTTAAAAAAAACAAAGAAACCAACATAGAATTGTGAAGCATATCAGCACTGTTCAACTTGTATTTTTTTATTCATGGTTTTTTAAAAAAATTTCATGTCAATATTAATATGTAGAGTTAGTTGTGTCAAATTAATTGATTGAAGTTAACTACATGCAATAGTATGTAATAGTAAAATAAATCATATTTGAGTGTCTGAGTTTGAAACACACAGGCTGGCCAATATTGGTATGTAGAATGATTTTTACATAATACATGTTAATTGATACATATTTCAGGAATAACTAACTATAAATAATACAATGCAAAAACAGTGAACGTTTGTTTGTTTGTTTAGTTTAATAACCAAATGTAAATCCGATTTTATCATCTATTTTTATCAATGCTTCATGTTTAAAGAGAAAATAGAAATAATAAAACCATTATTCAAATTGATAATAAATCACATATGATTATTTGTTCATTTTGTAGAAATTAAATGTAAAATAGAATTAAGGCTTTCTTTTGAATCTAAGATCACTCAATTCGATCAAGTACTTAGTGAGATACAAAGATATATGGTAATAGATAAAGAACTATTCATTTTTTTTTTAATTTTGAAAAATCTATTAATATTAAATACTTATATGGATGGCATTTTCATTTTTACATCACATAAGCATCAAACCTGCCTATTATACATACAACTATTGAATGTTTGATAAAACATTAATCAATTTTATTTTACAAAGCTTGTTTTCCAAGCTTGTCTAGTGTTGGTTAATAAGTTTTAGAGAGATTCACAAAAAAAAACAGTTTTATAAACCCAAGTATATTGAAGACAGTAATATGTTTTTTTCTATATATATATATACAAACAACTTGGCTGTCCTGCAAGGTTGGCCATGGTGTTGGTCCATTGATGGTCCGTTGGGCCCAATAGACCACCAATAGACCATCAATGGACCGTACATTTGCCAACCTCCCATTGCCAACCCTGCTGTCCTGTATATAATCATTAGGCATCACAAATAAGGGTACAGATTTCTTTTTAAAAATGAAACGCGACAATTCTCACTTAAAAAATTTTTTTGAGCAAGAAGACTGGTCCTATGACCACTTCAAAGAATTTCTACGGATACTCAATTATAAAGATAAAGACATATTAGCACATTATATCAGAGAACTGAAAAAAATAGAGGAAGAGGAAGCGGTGGAAAGGAAGGAGAAGGCAGGGAATTTGTTGAAGTATTATAAGGTACATTTGATATGTATTATTAAAAACATCCTACTCATTTAATGATGAATTGGGCTAGATAGATAAATAACAATGATGATGGTGATATTTACTACCAAACTACTAGCATTATTAAAAAATAATATAAAAAAAAATAAAAATAAATAAAAATAAATTAAACTTTTAGAATTATCATTTGTATTGACGAATAATAATAATAATAAATGTAATATTAATATATATACGTATAGGAATGGATGAATTTATATATTAACATATTATTATTATGTATCTTTACAAATTAAAAATCAACAATACTCTAGACAATAATTCAAAACTTTATTGAAATAATAAATAATACGTAAAAAGGATTGAAAAGTTATAAACTTAAAAAAATATTTTTTATTTTAACGATGAAGAATATATCCATTAATTCAACACATTCTCAACATTTAAAATTCAAAATTATTCATTTCTTCACCCTCTTCTTTTATAGACAATGTGAATAAGATGACACTTAATGAAAGCATAAAAATTGTTGTCGAAAAAAATCCCTTTCCAGATAATCAAATACTAACTTATGATTCAGCGGATCAACTGGAACGTTTTTTTGAAACCCAAGTAATAAATACTATAAAAATGGCTATGAATATGAAAAACCTTTTGAAAATTTTGCAAAATAACGAGTCAATATAGAATATTTGACGTTTCAAAAATTCCATATAGAAAAAAACAGAATATAAATTAAATTATAAATGTTTATGTTGAATTGACAGATATAAAGCCTGTAGGGTTGATCCCCGCCCCTTCTTTTTCTAATTAGGTGTTAAAAGCCTAAGTTTCGTTTATACTCATGATGAGACGCAAAAACAAAAAATATTTTCCGTACCGTCTGGGTCCAAATTCCATGAGTTAGAAACAATTGGGTTATTGTTATATAATTAATTCTGGATGACAGTATTAGCGTCAATTGTTGCTGCCGCTGCTGCTGCTGCTAATAGAACTTTAGTGCATATTTTTCAAAAAGATAACCCAGTCCACCCACATCGCTTATAAGTCAACGGTCTCTTTGTTGTATACTCTCGTTTGAACATCAAGAAGCCTCATAGCATTCGCATCAGGTATATACAAAAATTAATAAATTTATAAAATGAATCTAAAATCATTTGAAGAAGTTTTTGCTGAAGAAAGTTGATAAATATTTCAAAGAATTATCATCATGGGTGGTCCGCCAATTTTTATAAATATTATTAAGCGCTGTTTTTGTTGGATCAGTGTCAACAATATCAGAAGGGATGTTTCAGAAAACTCAAAGACTTTTGTATGATCTATAAATGTGTTGAATATTAAAGGCGACTAATTTGATGGATTAAATTATTAAAATAATGTAGAGCCAAAGAAATTTTTTACATATATATATACATATGTAAACTCGATAAGTCGGTCACTCGATAAGTCGGTTTACTCGATAAGTCGGTCATATGAGCTCACCCCCACATGACCGACTTATCGAGTTTACATATGTATAACTAAAAAATTTCTTTGGCTTTTGGTGTTACAAGGGGATAATTATTCTTCTTGAATCATTGCAATATACATACTAATACAATGATTTTGTTCATCCCCAGGACACATATTTTTACATAACTTTTGATCATTATCATTATTGCTGCTTGTATCAAGTGTTTTTACTTGTATCAAGCATTTTACTTACGTCAAGTGTTTTTACTTACGTCAAGTGTTTTTAATTACGTCAAGTGGTTTTACTTTAGTCGAATCGTCAAAATGGTCCTGGTGAGGAACTGCCTTTAGTCAATACTTTAGTTACGTCAATGAATGAAGTCAAAAGTTTCGTCGCATGTCCTTAATGACTACAAAGATTGTAGAAACTAATCCATTTCTTTTGGTGACTTTTCCACCTTATGAACATGTTAAGATAGGTTTTTTGACAAAGAAGCATATCATGATTCCAGCAATAGAAGGCTATTTTATTGGATCGAGTTTTCTTTTTGAGGCGTCTCCATTGCTATGAGTTCTGTCTTATGTTGATTTAGAGAGAACTTGAAAGGAATATATGTAATTCTGCGAATTCATTTTTTGGGACCACTGCTGAGCAATCACAATTACAAAAAATGAAGTTCCCTTTCATACTCGGTAGAACTATCATATTTATTCTTATTCATATATATATAATTTTATATATGTGCCTGATAATCACTGTGAATACATAGAGTTTTTTAGGTCAGTGTTGTTTGTTATTGTTCTGCTAAACCTCTTGTTGATTATCATTTCTTTTGGATATGATAAGATATCGGTTATTGGTAATACAAATGCCGAAAACCTTTGCTCTGACTAAAACACTGAATAAACAAAAAATGTTTTTTTGAAGGATTTAAAAAAGAAATTTTAAAGTTAGAGTAATTTAGTCTCGGTTTTTTTATTCTTTTTCAAGTATTAGTGTGTTAATTTGAAATTGGACGCATAGAGAGATGAGTGGAAGTTATAATAATCACAAGTCCCAGAGCAACATGGAATGGTTTGCTGTAAAAGTCCTATGAGCGGAGTAACTTGAAATTGGAGAAAGATTGAAGAAAATATCTCTTAAATCGTTTGCAGAATCAATATTCTCTTTACACGTTTATTTATAAATAAATGTTTGTATTGCGAAATAATTTATTACTTTTACATATATATATATATATTTATTTATTCATTTGTTGTGTTTACAGTTCGAAAGACAATTGTTTTGAGGAGCATATAAATTTTTTGCTGTCTTCCACCACTTCCGTTTACATTAAACATGCCTAATAAATAGCATAAAAATTAGATCTTTTTTTCATTTCTTTTATATAATTTTTTAAGCGTGTAACTTTAAATTTTTAAAATATAAAAATGAGCTTGCTTGAATATAAAAAGTATATAGAAGAAGGCGATTTGGTAATTGCTTACTTTGTAAGTAATTATTCCTTCTATAAGATTATTCATTTTGTAAAAAAAAAACCATAAAATTTATTTATTATGCTTTATTTATAGTCCCGTGAAAATATGATTCCCATCGTAGTAAACTCAAAGTCAACGTATAATAATAAATTTGGAACATTTAGACACTCAGATATGGTTGGAAAAGAATATGGTATTAAGGTTGGTTAATAAAGCCTAAAAACCTTTTTTCTTTAAAGGCTTAATTAAATATATATATATATATATATATACACATATAGTTGCTATCACACAATGGAAAAGGTTTTATGTACCTTTTACATCCTACACCTGAACTATGGACACATGTTGTTCCACATAGAACACAAATTTTATATCTGGCTGATATTTCATTTATAACAACGTATCTTGATTTAAAACCTGGATCAATAGTGTTAGAATGTGGTAATTAATACTAATGTCAATCAATACCAATAATAATAATAAAGAAAAAAAGAAAAGTATTAAAGTTAGTTCTATTGGAAATTATTAATTAATTAAAGGAACTGGTAGTGGATCATTTTCTCATTCTTTAGCAATAACAATTGCACCTCATGGACACTTGTATACTTTTGAGTATCATGAAGAACGTGCAAAAGCTGCAAAGTAATTATATATATAATCTATAAAAATATTCTGATGCAAATAAATATTTTTTCTTTCCCAATTATTAATTTCTTTTTTTTTTATTTATTTTTTTTTTTTTTGAGACAAGATTTTGAAGAACATAGTCTTTCTGATGTAATTACGATAGAATGTAAAGACGTTTGTAAAAATGGGTTTGGACTTAAAGATTTGGTGGATGCTGGTGAGACTATCATAAATATATATAATATATATACAGTGTGTATACTTTATACTAAATATAGATTATATTCTATCTTGAATAGTTTTTTTAGATTTGCCTGCACCTTGGAATGCCATTTCATCAGCCAAAGAAGCATTTAAGGTATTTTTATAAACATGTGTGTATATTATTAGGCATATATAAATAAATAATTCTTTGAAATCACTTTAGCAAAATCGTATAGGTAAAATATGTTGTTTTAGTCCATGTGTTGAGCAAGTACAGAAAACATGTGCATTTTTAAATGAGAATGGATTTGTTGGTAAGTTTTCCAAAAGAAAATTTAAAAAAAAAATCTTTATTTTTATTTTATAAACGTATTAAATAATCGTTTATTCATTTCTGAAATAGAGATAAAAATGTTCGAATGTCTTATTCGTAATCATGAAGTAAGAACTATACCAATTTATAAAGTTGAAGATGCTGTCAACCACATTAAAGCTCAAAAAGAGAAAAAACGTAAACGTAAAGAAGAGCAACAAAAACAAGATGAAATAACTGAATCACCATCATCTTTAACAACAACAACAATAAACAACAACAACAACAACAACAACAACAACAACAATTCATCTCAAGGAAAACAACATCAAGATTGTCCAAATTTATATGTTACCAAAAATCCAATAGAAACTAGAGGTCATACCAGTTATTTAACATTTGCTACATTTCTACCTAATATTGTCCTAGACAATGGTGATGATGATGATGATGATGATGATAATGATGATGATGATAATTCAAATATTTAAAAACTTTCTTTTAAAAAAGATCCAACTGATATTAATCCATCACATATTTCAATTATTTTATTATTCATTTAATTTCAACCAACAAATAAAACTTAGAGAACGTACATACGACACGAATTAAATGGTAGGCTACCATAATACAAAAGCTAAATTATGTTAACAATGTAAATCATAATCAAAAAATCATCCGTTAAGATTTAGAATTCCGCTAAATATTTCTAAATATAAATAACTATTTGGGCCCTACAGCCTTCCAAGCAATGATTATTTTTGCCTCAAACTTTTCATGATCATGAGCCAATCCTTAGTATCTAAAAGATAAAAAATAATTTCTTTAGCCATAGCACTTCTATATCCAAGTTTCTAATAAACAATTAGTTGTGTGTATACATACATATATATATATATACAAATCTTAAATTTAGGCAAACAATTCGATTTTTTTTGCAAGTAGGTTTATTCTTAATATTAATACTATCTATAAATTGTCGAACTTCTACCCGATCAGTAGAGGAGCTGTTACAGGTGTAGATGGCGAAGCTTTTAATGACCCATAAATTCTTTTGTAGTACATTCGATATCAATTTAATCAACATTTGTTTTTCTATTTTTTCATGTGGTATTGTTTTCTTTGTCGTTGCAATAGTCACTACCACCACCACCAGAATTGTTGCAGATGCTACTACTACTAATACAATTATTATGGTTATTGCAATCATCACTACCACTACCAGAATTGTTATTGATACTACTGCTACTCGCACAATTATCATTGTTATTGCAATCATCACTGTCACCACCGCCAGAATTATTTTTGATACTACTATTACTCGCACAATTATCATTGTTATCATCGTCACCACCAGTACTATTATTAAAAGTGTTGCCATTGAATTGACTAAAACAGGATTGACAATTAATTATTTTATTTAAAAAGAATTTATTTTATCAAAATTACCTCTACTAGACTGCCCTGTTCGAAAGGATCTGCGCTAACATCGAAGCTCGAATCTATTTTGCTGGTATAGCCGAGTGAAATTAACAATTAATTATTATTTTTTAACTTTGTAAAAATTTAGAACTTTTTTATTAACATCGCTTTCTTTCTAAAGAAATTCACAACTTGTGGAAATATCAAAGATATTGCTTGTGATAGTGCTACACTACTAGAAATACATTTCTCGACCATTCTAGACATGCTTTTTATTAGTTATGATACGTTTCATATGGAATATTTGACCACTATTCTTTAAAACAACAACTTCCAATTCATTTTCTTTTTTTGGATACTGTACACGCATACTCGACCGTCTTTTTAGTTCATTCCATAAGTGTTCAATTGGATTTAGATCTGGAGATTGTGAAGGCATGGAAGTAAAGACTTTCTTGTATGAGGTAGTCTTGTTTTGTTGATTGTTAATGATGAAGAAGATGTAGGTAGACCAGTTAGGTAAAGTTGTAGTATTATTCTTCCCTTCGATCCAAATTTGAACATCACGCACGCATTATCATCTTGAAATTAATAAATAGCCTCTACAATCAAATTTGTCTCTAACAAATTATTCTCTAGAATTTCTATGTAATCATGTCGATTCATCTTGCCTTCACCTCTAACTAATGACCCTAAACCTTTTCAAACTGTACGCCAAACATGATGGGGACCATCACTTCATAAATTGTAAAACGAGATTCATCACTCCATATTGTCTTTTTCCTAATGAAGCAACGCTCTGATTTCTTCTTTGTTGACACCATTTCAATCGGCTTTCTGACCGTTTTTCTGTCAGATTTACATCAGCAATTCCGCCGAATGATACTCATATTCACCAATTAAATACCGATTATCCGGTTAATCGGGTGTTCAATAATTAATTAATCGGCGTTGAAAATTTTCACCGGATACTTTTGATAGGGGAGTGTAAGCCTTCCATGTTTTTGGTAAAAACTTTAATAATAATAATAATAACAAAACTATAAGCCCTTTTCAACCCCATTTTTAAAATCAATTTTCACACGGTCTTGAATGCTTATTTATTGCCCAAGCAAGCACAAGAGAGACCACATGAATTAATGAAATCAGAAAAATGATTAGATGATTTAGACAAGATAGAAAAAAGAGAACGAGGTGGATCTATCATTCATTAAATTATACAATTAATAAAAGTACAATCATATAAGCACAAAAATATAATATAAACAGATAGATATAGAAGACAGATAGATACTTTGACATGTATTATAGTAGATCTTATCTAATTAAGATAGTAGAAACAAATTTTAAAGAGTAAAAATTAAATTCTTATCAGTGTATAAATGAATCAATTACTCAATTTTCATGCTATAAATTAAAGGCGTGAACAAGTGTGGCAAGTGACATACATAACATAATTGATAATTATAAATTTCTTTGCCAATTAATGTCATAGTATGTATGTTACACGGGCCTCTGTCATTTAATCATATGACACACAATTTGTTAAAAATTTTAAAATATATACAAAATTAAAATTATTCTTTTTATTTTCGAAAAATGACAACAGCTGCTAGACCAACTTTTGATCCTGCCCGAGGAAATGATAGTAAAGCACCAACTTTTCAATATAGTTCTAGAGATCTTTCTGCTCATACAAAACTTAAATATAGGTCAATATCAAAACTTCTTTCATTTTTAAATCATTGTTTTCATTAGACGATTCTTAATATATATTATTATTTATTATTTATTTATAATATATAGACAAACAGGACAAATCACACAAGAAGAACTTGAAAACGTAGATCTTAAAGAAGAACTTTTAAAAGCAGAGAAAGAGCATTTCGAAAATGCACAACTTTTAGATAAAAAACATGGCAATGACGACGATGAAGGCCAATCAATAAAACGAAGAAAACTTTTATTAGAATCAACCGCACAATTAGATGCAGATGATGGTGATAGTGATGAGGAAGATAGCGATTCTGATAGTAATAGCTCGAGGTAAGAATTTTTTCTCTTTCTTCTTTAGAAAACTAATTATATTTTGCTTGTGTGTGTGTATATATATATATTTATATAGTGAAAACATTAATGTAATTAATTAATTAGTGATGAGGAAGAAGAAGACGATACTGCAGCTTTATTAGCTGAATTAGAGAAAATAAAAAAAGAGCGAACAGAGGAGAGAGAGCGTCAGGTAAATTAAATAAATAAAATAAATAAAGAAGGGCAAGAAAAGATAAAATATTCTAAATAAATAAGTAAAATAAATAAATTATTTAATTGCTAAAGGAACTTGAGAAGTTCAAAGAACGACAAGAAGAAATAATGACGGGAAATCCATTAATTGCAAATAAAGATTTTAATGTTAGAAGAAGGTAAGCTTTAATTTTAGGAGATACATACATACATACATACACACATACATATATTTACTTGTTGTTATTATTTAGGTGGGATGACGATGTCATTTTTAAGAATCAGGCTCGTGGAGTTGAAGATAACCCTAAAAAACGATTTATAAATGATACACTTAGAAGTGACTTTCATCGTAAATTTATGAACAAATATGTTAAATAAATAAATTTGATTTTTTTATTTTTTATTTTTTATTTTATTTGATGTTTGATAATTATCATTATTTAAATAATTATTGTGTTAAAGATAGATGAAAGAAAATAAATAGATTGTATGATTGAATTGGAATCATTTAATAAATAGTAATTATGTGGCTCTTCTGAATGTGCCATTCACAGCATTTTGTAAAGTCATCTGTAATGTTGATGCAAAAGTGTTTGCTAAATTTACAGCACCACTTTCAGCAACCATTGCCATTGTACCTGCACGTTTCTTCAATTTGTTTGCTTCATTAACTGCTCCTACAATCTCTTGAATAATTAATTGTCTCCAATACCGAAATTATCTCTAAAAATATGTTATGAACCTAATACCAGCTAAATCAAGCTCACAAACATTTTAAAAACATCCATAACATTCTATATTATGATTTCCCTTTTATTCTCTAGTAATAACTTTGATATAAATCATATACTTGATGGATATACATAGAATCATTTTAAATACTGTGAATATATCATTTGAACATAATATTATGATTGGAAAAACAGCAGAATGTCTTAAGACTAGGAGGAAGGTCAGACAAGAAATTCCTCAAAAGGTTGGTAATCTAATTATTTAGGGGTAAAAGAACTCTGATATACTATGAAAAAGGTCTCGGAGTGTATTTTATATTTCAATGTTGGATGTTACAATACGTGTATAAATTATATGGTAATTTGGATCAATTAGTTTAAATGTATTGTTTCTTTTTATTTTATATTTAAGAAATAATATGATGTGTATAAAAAATAAATCTAATTAATGAATTTAATATTAAAAAAAGTTTGATTAATCAATTCACTCGATTCCCAATGTTTTTAACCTTATCAACTTTATTAACCTCCCTTCAATAACTTGACCCATGTTATAATAATTATAAATAATCAATTTAAATTAATGAATTTCAATTGATTAATTAAAATTGTGTTTCAGATAACAGAGTCAATATCAAGATCACTTAATAAACTATCATTACTCTTTAAATTTAATTT